CAGCTTTTTACACCTCATAAGCCAGCCTCTGCTAGCTTTCAACTTTCCTTCTGCAGCTTCCTCACTTCTCTCAACCATCATAGAATTAAAGAGATAAGAGCCTTGTTCTGGGTAAGGCTTTGACTTAAGGTAATGTGGCTGGTTTAATCTATCTAGACTACTAAAGCTTTCTCCATATCAGCAATAAGGCTATTGTGCTTTTTAAATCATTTATGTGTTCACTGGAGTAGCATTTTTCATTATTTTCAAGAACTTTTCCTTTGCATTCACAACGTAGCTGTTTGGCACAAGAGATCTAGCTTTCAGCCTGTCTTAGCTTTTGACATGCCTTCCTTACTAAGCTTAATCATTTCTAGCTTCTGATTTAAAGTGAGAGACATGGGACTCTTTCATTTGAACACTTAGAGGCCTCTGTAGGGCTATTAATTAGGCCCAATTTCAATATTGTTGTGTCTCAGGGAATAAGGAGGCCTGAAAAAAGGGAAATGAGGGAACAGGAGGTTGGTGAAGCAGTCAGAATACACACGTTTATTAAGTTTGCTCTCTTATACAGACAGACCATGGACCCCCAAAATAATTACAACAGTAACATCAAAGATCACTGATCACCGTAACAGATACAATGAAGAGATTTGAAATATTGTGAGAATTACTGAAATGTCAGACATGATGAAGTGGGCACATGCCGTTGGAAAAATGGCGCTGATGACTTGCTCAACGCAGAGTTATCACAATTTGTAAAAAACCCACTGAGAGGTGCGACAAAGCAAACCGCAATAAAACAAGGTATGCCTGGATTAAGGCACGAAGAATGTAAAATGTCTCAAAGGAGTAGCAGAACTCCTTTAAGCCAGTACCAACGGCCCCTGAACCAGAAAACAGCTATTTCCTCCTGTGGATACTAGACTTAGTCCTCTTTATTTTGAATGCAACTGTGAAACTGCTGACCACAAAAGTTACTCTCTGCTCCTATCATTCTTTCATCAGCCTTGGGTTGGGAGGTCTCTCTATTCCATCTACCATCAAACCACTTGGCACTTTCATTCCATATTGAGAGCAACATACTTACGCTCCAGAAATGCTGTCTTGACAACTTTTTTTTTTTTTAAATTAGGGAAGTAAGCTGCTGGAAAGCGTAGGAAAGTTCTTTCCTCAAAATCCAGGTACCTTCTGAAGCCATATAGTAAATGCTAAAATGTCACACCCAAAGGGAGGGCGAGGTCATGAACAATCTGATATGGATCTGGAGGTATCAAAGCCACAGGACCCTTTCTTTCTTT